CCTCGCTCAACCAGTGAGCGGGAACCGGTCTATACGTGGGATCCGAACCCTCGGACGGGAGCGCCACCGCGCTTCCCAAGCAGCGCACTATCCAGTGCGCCACCGGGCCGGCCCGTCCCTAGCCTTTTCTTAAGAACAGGAGAAAATGGCCAAGGCCCAGGTGAGGTTTGTTTTACCTATTTTATTTTTTGTTTCCCAATGGATCTGTGGAAGCTTATAAAAGGCAATACAGTTAAATGAAACAGTTGCCTTAGCTTTGAGCCGTGGCCCCTTTTCTCGGCAGCTGTAATAACAAGAAAAATATGAAAAGTTAAATGATTTGCAATGTTTATGAGGAGAAGGCAAGGCGGTTGTTTTTCAGGGGGAAGTAAACATTTCATTTCTCTTGGATCTTAAGAAATTTCTTTTCTTCAGAGTGGTTTTTTGGTAGACAGTGTTCCCAGTATCAGCATTGTAACAAAAGCATAGGATGCTTCCTTTGGCTTTTTCTTGTTTTGTTCCTTGGAGTTGGCTAAGTGGGTAATGCTATAACAGGACTCAGTTGGACAAAATTCTTGAAAAACAGTGTGCCTTGAAAACAGAGCCTTCTGGTAGTCTGACTTTACCCTGGAATAAAGCTTGGATTATCTGTCCAATAGAATGAATGGACTGCTTGACCTTTGAGTGGTCTTCCATGAAGAATTCTCTCACCCAGATTACTGTTCTTGGTTTGGCAGGAGAAGCTGAAAGTTCCATCCTTTGGTAACAACTTAGAGTATAGATATTGACAGTGCTCCTTTCATACCTTCCTTACCCGAGGTCCAAAAAATGAAATCAGTGCCAATTCTTGTTTTGGTCTTTGTATTTTTAATTGCCCAAATGATGCATGGCTACATTTGCATGCAAGAGATTCAAGCAAACAGAAATATTTGTATCAAAAGACAATATCCCCTTTCACCCTTTTCCTGCCCAAACCCCAACCTAAAGGGTAACAAATATTCATAGTTTGGGTCTCCATCCAGTCCCTTCATATGACTGACGTATGGTGGAATATATCTGTATTTATATACATTTCTGTTTACATACATGTGTACTTATGCAATTGTATATATTATTAACAAATTTTAAATGTCTTGGATCATGTTATATATACTATTTGGGACCTTGACTTTTTATTTAAGAGAATGCCTTGAAGATCATTGATATTTGTATGTGTAAATCTACCTCATTAATTTTTTTTTCCGAGTTTTTAAAATTTATTATTAATTAATTAATTTTTGTGACTGGCTGGGATTTTAATGTTTGTATAGTACATTGTAACGTGGAGATGCTGTAATTTAACCCCGTCTGCTTTGGATGGATATTTAGATTATGGAAAGTTGTTCACTATTAAAAACAAAGAAATAAAGAACATTCTTACTACACATTGTTTTATATCTATGCAAATGTTATTTTAGTATTTTATTTTTTTTGGCAGCTGGCCAGGGTGGGGATCTGAACCCTTGACCTCAGTGTTGCAACACCGTGCTCTAACCCACTGAGCTAACTGGCCAGCCTATGTTAGTACTTTTTTGCGGTAGGAAAAATTAATGGAATTCCATAGTTCTATGGTGTGTGAAATAGTCATGGTGTGCATAATTTATTATGGGGAAAATGATCAGAACGTATCCCTCTCTCTTTTTTTCCACATCATTTATTGATATCCACCTTAGATTGCATTGGAATGGTTTATTACAGGGATCGTTATCATTTGAGGATGTGGCTGTGGACTTCACCAGGGAGGAGTGGTGGTTTTTGGACCCATCTCAAAAGGACCTGTATAAGGAAGTAATGTTGGAGAACTACAACAACCTAGTGTCAGTAGGTAAGGACAGCATCACAGTCTGTTACCTTTTCTTTCGTGTTCAGTGAAATTTGTAGGGTCCCTTAATTATTTAATGGTTTGGACTAAAGCATTTATATGAGTCCATTTCTGTTGCTTATAGCAAAATATCTGGAACTGGGCATTTTGTAAGAAAATGAAATTTATTGCTAAGTTTTCTGAGGCTGGGAAGTCCAAAGTCCAGGGACCACTTCTGGTGAGGGTGTTGGTGGTGGTGACAGTGACAACAGAGTATCACATTGCAAAAATGGTGGAGCAGAGAGAGAGAGAGAGAGACAGACTCTCTTCTCTCTTCTTTTAAAGCCCTCAGAACCACGTCTCTTACCGCCATTGTTAATCCATTCACTACTGCCCGGTCCTACAGCCTAATCACTTCTTCAAGGCTCCACCTTTCAGTTACCGTAAGAGGATTTCCCACCCTCTTAACAGTCACAGTGGGGGCCGGCCCGGTGGCGCACTGCTACAGTGCGCCGCTTGGGAAGCGTGGCAGGCGCTCCCGCCGAGGGTTCGGATCCCACGTACAGACCAGTTCCCGCTCACTGTCTGAGCGAGGCGTGGGAGCAGCACTGAGGGTTGCGATCCCGTTGCCGGTCCCGGTCCGGTACGGGCGCGACACTGAGGGTTGCGATCTGTTGCCGGTCACGAAAAAAGACAAAAAGGGAAAAAAAAAAAAAAAAAAAAAAAGTCACAGGGGGGCCCAAGTTTCTAAAACATAAAACTTGGGGGACACAATTCAAGCTTCAGTGAGTTTTGGGGGGACATAATTCAGTCCACTACAGCACTGTATGTCATAGACTTTTTTTATTGTTGCAAAATATACATAAAATTTACCTTCTTTGCCATTTTTTTGTCCGCGGTTTAGTGGTATTAAGTTTGCTCACAGTGTTGTGCAGCCATCACCAC